CTAAAAAACCAGTCATTGGCATTCCTGTTCTATTGGGACATATGCGGGGTAACCATGAGTCAAAGTTGACTCATCAACAGCTGCTTGTTTTTTGTTTTTTAAAAGCCATACAAGCTGAGGAAAATGTGTATATAGGAAAGAGGAAGTAGTCTAAGAGCAAGCCTAAGCCTGGCAGCATTTAGAGGTCAAGCAAAGGAAGTGGGACTAGCAAAGCAGCTATTGAGACAGGGGGCAGGGCAGAAAGAGAAAATGTACCATAGAAGTAAGAAAGTCTTTCTGGATGGAGGATGTGATCACTTGGACAGAATGCTACTGAATGTTAAGGCAGGAAGGAATATAGAATGTTGGATGAAATGAACGAAGACCAGAGTGGATGGAGTATAGTGAGTAGGTGATGGAGGCATCAAAGACTTTAATTAAGATGTTTTTTGTGTAAGAGAAACAAGGTAGCTACTGATGTAGCTACTGATGTGTTATAAGCAGTGGAATATAAGAATTTGATTAATATTCATGTATTTAAAAGATCATTCTGGCTATTGTGCAGAGAAGCATTTGGAGAAGAGTCAGTTGTAGTAATGATGGATATGGATGGATATGATTTGTTGTAATTTGGTAAAATCAGCAGAATTGTCTTAGCCTCTTCTTGTTAGATACCAGTAGAGCCTGCTCCGACTCATAGGAACTCTGTGTACTCCTTTCTAAGGTGCACTCTGGATGTACTTCTTCCAAGACAGGTAAGGTCTGGTTGCAGCCAATGGTGCTTTAAATATTCTTCACCAACACTGTAATTCAAATGCACCTATTCTTCTACAGGCTTCCTTATTTATTGTCCACCTTTCAAATGCATATGAGGTGATTGGAAATACCATGGTTTAGGGCAACAGTCCTGGTGTGGTGCTGTGGGTTAATGAGCCAGACTTCAAAGCCGTTTGAACTGCAAGGTCACGGGTTCAAGCTTACCAGCTGTTCCTCGAAAACCCTCTACAGGGTCGCTATGGGTTGGAATTGACTCCATGGCACTTAACAACACCACCTTAGTCCTCAAAGTGACCTCTTTGAACTTTAATGTGTTAAAGTGGTTTTTTTGCAGCATTTTAAAAATTGCTGCTTCCTTGAGTGCTGATTGTGGATCCAAGCAAATGAAGTATTTTCTTCATTTTGACAACTTTAGTCTTTTCTTCATGTATCATGATGTTGTTTATTGGTTCCCTTGTGAGGAATTTTACTTTTCATTGAGGAACATTCAAGACCGTTGTCTTGGTTTTTCTTTCTTCAGTAAGTTTTTCAAGTCCTCTTAGCTTCCAGCAGTGAAGATTGTGTCATCTGCATAGTGCAGGTTGTTAATGAATCTTCCTCCAATCTTGATGCCATGTTCTACGTCATATAATTCAGCTTTTGGATTATTTGCTTAGCATACAGAATGAATAAAGATGGTAAAGGATATTACCCTGGCACACACCTTTCCTGATTTTAAGCCATTTAGTATCCTCTAGTGCTAGTTCTAAGAGCTCTGGTAGCGTAGTGGTTACGAATCGGGCTGTGAACCTTAAGGTCAGTGGTTCGAAACTACCAGCCGCTCCACAGGAGAAAGATGAGGCTTTCTACTCCGGTTCAGATTTACACCCTCGGAAACCCTGTACAGGGTCGCTATGGGTTGGAACCGACTCAATGGCACTTAATAATAACAACAACAACAGTGCTAGTTCTATTATTGGAGTCCTGGTGTGGCGCTGGGGGTTAGTGTACCACACTGCAAAGCTGTTTGAACTACAAGGTCGGTGGTTCAAGCTCACTAGTTGCTCCTTGGAAACCCTATACAGGGTTGCTATGGGTCAGAACCAGCTCAACAGCACTTAACAAGAACAAGTTCTATTATTGGAGTCCTAGTGTGGCATTGTGGGTTAGTGTGCTGGACTGCAAAGTCAGTTTGAACTGTAAGATTGGTGGTTAAAGCTCACCAGCTGCTCTTTGGAAACCCTATACAGGGTTGCTCTGGGTCTGACTTGGTGGCACGTTCTTTTAATGATCTATATAACAGTTTCCTCATGAGCACAATGAAGTATTCTTGAATTCCCATTCTTTTCAGTGCCCCCAATAATTCATTCGGATCCACACAGTTGATTGTTTTTGCATAGTCAATAAAACACTACTAAACATCTTCCTGGCATTTTTGCTTTAGTCAGGATCCATATAATGTCCTTTTCTGAATTTGACTTGAATGTCTGGTAACTCTTTGTTGATGTACTGCTGCAACCATTTTGAATTATATCTTCAGCAAAATGTTACTTTTGTGTGATATAAATAGTATTGTTTGTGTGATATAAATGTATTGTGTGAGTTCCACATTCCTTTGGGTCACCTTTCTTTGGAATGGGCACAAATGTGGATCTTTTCCAATTAGTTTGGCATAGATGAGTGAGTGCCTCCAACGTTATATCAGTTTGTTGAAACATTTCAATCTGTATTCCTTCAATACCTGGAGTCCTGTTTTTTGCTAGTGCCTTCAATGCAGCTTGGACTTCTTCCTTCAGTACCATAGATTCTTGATCATATGCTACCTTTTGAAATGGTTGGACACTGACTAATTCTTTTGATAGAGCAACTCTGTATTCCTCTCATTTTCTTTTGATGCTTCTTGCATCATTCAGTGTTTTCCCATGGAACCTTTCCATATTGCAAGTAAAGGATTGAATTTTTTCTTCAGTTCTTTCAGTTTGAGAAATGCTGAGCGTGTTATTCCCTGTTGGTTTTCTAATTCTAGGTCATTGCACATTTCATTATAATACTTTGTTGTCTTGAGTGGACTTTTGAAATTTTCTGTTCAGCTCTTTTACTTAGTTTCTTAGTGCTTGCTATAATGGAAGAATGACAAATGGGTGGCTTTTACAAACAATTTTATTTTTATATGTAGGAGGCTAAATGTTTACATTTAGGGCACTAGTCTTTTCTTTCTTTTGGTCTTGGGGAAGATCGTTGTCTCTTTCAGCTTCTCTGGTCCTAATTTCCATGGCAGTCTTCATGTGGCATCTACCCCCCTTTGTCCTTGCTTCTGTATCTAATTGGCAAATTTTGTATCTCAAAAGTGATTGACGTAAGATACACTGAAATAGCCTCATTAATATAGTAAGAGAATCCCTGAAATTACCTTTTGTATAGGATTTACAAAGTATTTTTTGGGTGGAACACAATTCAGTCCTTATCAGTGAGTTAATCACTGTAGGGGCTGGGGGTGGTAAGGGAGAAGCAGGTGTCAATAATGGATGATTGTTCCTTTTACTGAGATGGGTAATCCTGGAGATAGACTAAGAGAAAGTGGGAGGGAGGTCCTGAGTTCAACTTTAGTTTAGGTGCTAAGAGATATTTGTATTTGTAGACTGCTTTAATTTTAGGAACATCTGTCAAGTTGAACTGGAGGGAATTTGTGTTAGTGTGTTAATCTCAACTTCATTAAATGCAGTAATCTTAGAATTGTTGTAGTAGTTATATGGATTATATACACTTAACAACAACAATAGTTTAAGGCCCTGGTTGTTATTAAGTACCTTCTTAACGACCCTGTATAGGGTTTCTGAGGAGCGGCTGGTAAGGTCAGTGACCTTTCAACTCAAACGACCCTGCGGTCCAGTGTATGATCCCACAAAATAATGTTCTGGCAGTTATTTGCATATATGCCATTTTCAGTTGTTACTATTAGAGTAAGGGAATTGAAAAAAAAATAAGATTAAGAAAATAGTAAATTCAAGTGATTTTAGTATGTATTGTTGTTGTTATGTGCTATTGAGTTGGTTCCGACCTATAGCGACCCTCTATAAGTTTTCGAGCAGCAGCTGGTGAGCTTAAACCGCCAATCTTGTGGTTCAAACTGACTTCGCAGTCCAGTGCATTAACCCACAGTGCCACACCAGGACTCCTCAGTATGTATACACTTGTTTATTGGGAACACAGTGTCTCCATATGGTAAGTACTGGATTGCGAACCACAAGGCCTATGGCAAGGCCTATGGCTGGAGCTCACCAACTGCTCTGAGGGAGAAACATGAGACTTGCTGCTGCAAAGATTTAATAAGCCTTGAAAACCCTACACAGGGTTACTGTGAGTTGGAACCGACTGTACAGCATTTACTCAAGGATGAAGTACAGAAGGATTAGGTAAAAAGGAGGAATGGAAACCAGAGATACCAAGGAATTGGGATAAGTGATGTAACAAAGTGTAGGAATTGCAGTTAATGGCACAAAGCAAGATGTTTGTGAATTTGGTGAATGGAAAACTGATCTTCCCCCAATTCACAATAAGAAGTTTAAAAAAAATGTGTATAGACCTAGATGGAGGAAAAGAAATACTTACACATTTTAGCAGGACTAATGTTTATCATATTCAATCTTTAAATATTTCAAATATTAGATAACTAAGTTTGTGAAGTAATTGAAAAGGGAATAATGAATTTTCCTATAATGTATCAGCCTTTGTTGTTGTGTTGTTGAGTTGATTCTGACCCTTAGTAACCCTGTATAGGGTTTCCAAGGAGCAGTTGGTGAGCTTGAACCACCAACCTTGCAGTTCAAACAACTTTGCAGTCTGGTGCATTAACACACAGTGCCACACCAGGACTCCATCGGCCTTTAAAGGAACTATATATTTCCGTTGCTTAACATTTGTGTAATTTTTTTTCAATTTTTATTCCATAGATTCATAGAAAATAATTCATAATGGGAAATTTTAGGTAATGTTTACTTAACAGTTTTAATATTTAAAACATTTTGCCATCAAATACTTCATTGATTTCTGTAGAAATGAGACATGAAAATGTTAAAAAAAATATATAACAAAGCACAAAATATGCAAGTGTTTTGTGAAATTGACTATATATTTTGACCTGAATATGTTTAGTACAGAGTCAAGCTCCAGAGAGAAAAAGCTATCTGATCTGAAGTAAAGATTTAACTGTATTTAGCTCTTTCATTTAAAACATTGTTATCTTTTTCTGCTATATTTAATTGCAGGGCTATTTCCCGATGTAGGTGGAGGTTATTTCTTGCCAAGACTTCAAGGAAAACTTGGTTACTTCCTTGCTTTAACAGGATTCAGACTAAAAGGAAGAGATGTGCTAAAAGCAGGAATTGCTACACACTTTGTCGATTCTGAAAAGGTAATTATTTGGATGATGTCATTTTGTGTTGTGGGGGTAACTAGTATCACATGGGGAGGCAGTGTAAGGAGTGGCTGAGATCACAGGCTTTTGGTAGACATGGATGTGAAACCTTGGATCTATTATATGTAGCTGTGTGATCTTGGGGAGGGTACTTAAGCTCTCTAAATTCTCAGTGCCTTCTTATTTAAAATATATAAAATGGAGAGAGTAATACCTGGATTCAGGTATTATTCAGGATTTAGGACTGTTTTGTCCAGCACACATTATGACTCAGTGGGTATTTCTTAAAGAAGAATTAGTATCTGTAAAGGAAAGTAATGTCTATTTTTTAAGTCTTAGTATATAAAAATCTAAATTTATATGTAAAAAAATAGGCTTTTTATGTTATAATGGCCTTTTTTTTTTTTTAGAGATTCTCTTGGTTGTGAGTTCCCCTAGTGCTTTTAAAACAGACTTTCTGCTGCAGTTATAAAATATGGTCTTATAACTTTTCTAAAGCATATATATAAGTTGCTCATTAGGCATTAGTTAACTTACCTTTTTTAAAAAAACAACGGTATGGCCATTTTTGTTAATACAGAATAGCACAGTGGAAAAGAAAATGTAGACAGTTGTCTGAGTATATATTGTAGATTGAATTTAGTATCCTTGGCCCCTAGTTTCCCCATTTCCAAAATGGGGATGGCAACACTACCATAGTATTTGGAACTCCTTGTGTTAACCTATAATGGAAAAAATTCAATTCAAGGTGATTTTGTTCCAGATTTTCTAGTAAGATACATGGGATTTATAGTGTTTCAACTGTTCAAGCTCTTTCTGATTTACTGGCTTTATCCTGAGCCATGAGGGAGGTGAGCTTGCTGGTCTATCCTAGGTTACTGGAGCTGTGGGATGAAGTCAGAGTCCCAGGAATCACTGTGAAGATATCCAAAATTGAGAAAGATATGTTTGGGATAGAATATTATAAAAATTAGAAATTTGATGTGAAGTGCTTCGTTTGTCATTTTTATTGTAAGTGCTGTTGGAGTTGGTTCTGACTCATAGCAATCCTGTATAGCAGGAGTGGGGAACCTTTTTTCTGCCAAAATTTAAAACATCATTCATGGGCCATACAAAATTATCAACTTAGAAGTTAGCCTGCTTTATTTGGTCACACATTTAATTTAATTAACTTACCCTTAGTGTGATGGCTGGAACTGCAGTTGCCTTGGCAGGGCCAGACCAAATGATTTTGAGGACTTTATATGGACTGCGGGCTGGATGTTCCCCACTCTTCTATATAGGATTTCCAAGGAGCAGCTGTTGGATTTGAACCACTGACCTTGTGGTTAGCAGTCCAGTGCTTATCCTACATGAGGTATCCTGTTTTGTCATTAACTAAAATAAATGCTCAAATCTTGAGTAGTGTTAATATTTTTAATACAGCAGTTTATATGTAGATTTTTGAGGTGACCAGGGTTTTTCAGAGTCTTTTACAATGTGCACTATGACCCACTGAAACATTCTTCTGCGTGAGGGTACTGATGCCAAAGGTGATATTAACAGTTGTACTATTTTCTTAATCACTTGTTAAGTGCCATCGAGTCAGTTCCATAGGGTGTCCGGGGAGCAGCTGGTGGGTTTGAACCTCTGAACTGGTGGTTCGCAGCCCTCCAGGGCTTATTCTACTGTGTCACAGCAGGACTGTTAATCCATTATGATGCTTTTTTCTCATTCTGTCTTTTCTGGCCTTCCAAAAACCAATGCAGTAAGACAGCTGGATATAAAATGGTTTGTTAGCTGATGGAATTTTGTTGGCAAATTTTATAAATTAGCTTTGGTGATTTTTGTGTTGGTAAGTCTTGGTCATGTTTCCTACAGTTATAGACCCTATCATGGTAAGGAGTATATGAAGAGGAATGTTGTCCCTATACACTGTGATGAGGGCCGTCCATCAAGTTTACTGGTCTTCCCCCATGTTCTGGGCATGCTCAGTCACATTCAATGGGTTCTCCTGAGCTGTAACAGGAACCAATAATGGGCATTCCGTTTTCTGCCTTAGAAGGACACTTATGATGATGGTGGAATTTAGTGCAAGATGGGAGAAAGAGTTGTTGATTCACAACTTTTTTCCTTTTTGTCAGCTTGTCCAGTAATACCTGCAGTGGGCAGACTGCCATCCACAGGGCGAATAGAAGATGCAGAAATAAGTAGTATACTTTGGGAAGGGGGCTAGAGACGAATACAAAAGAATTGTAAAATCAAAACACAAAGAAAATACTTATATTTAGAGTGGCCTAAACTTGTGTGTGTGTGTGTGTGTGTGTGTGTGTGTGATCATAGAGATTGCAATTCAGCTGGGCCTTAAAGTATGGTAGGATTTTTATAGACAAGGATTATCAGGAAAAGGCATTCTATCCTAAATAGAGGAAACAATGAGAAACATAAGGGGCTGGAAAACATTATGTTAAAAGCATATTTTTTACTATATCTCAGACAAAAGTACCATTTTACCAAGACATGAGATTTTACCAAGACATAAGATAAATGAGGACTATCACCCACCACTGCCTACTGCCATGGAGCTGATTCTGACTCATAGGGATCCTGTAGGGCAGAGTGGAACTGTTCCTCTGGGTTTCTGAGACTGTAAATCTTTACAGAAACAGACCAGCCTTGTCTTTGTTCCACAGAGTGACTGGTGGCTTGAAACCACTCACTGATCTTGCATTTAGTAACCCATTACGTAACCCACTGCTTCTTCAGGACTCCTTGTGAGTAGTATGTTGTTGATAAGTGCTGTTGAGTTGTTTTTGACTCATAACGACCATGTGTATAGGGTTTCCAAGGGCAATTGGTGGGTTTGAACCACCAGTCTTGTGGCTAGCAGTCTAGTGCTTACCCTTACAATGCCATACCAGGACTCTATGAAAAGTATTGCTGTTAAGTGTCATCAAGTCAGTATTGACACACACAAACCCTGTATAGGATTTCTGAGGAGGAGCTGATGGGTTTGAACCCCTGACCTTGTGGCTAGCAATCCAGTAATTATCCTACAGTGCCACACCAAGAAATGTAGATGCATTAAAGTTAAGTCAAACAAAATATATACTTCAGATCTTTGATCACAATATTACATTTCAAATACTCTATGTTGTTGTTGTTGTTAAGTGCCGTCAAGTTGGTTATAACTCATACTGACCCTGTATAGCTTTTCTGAGGAGCGGCTGGTGAATTTGACCTTGCAGTCCAGTGCTGTATTCCACAGCGCTGTACCAAGACTCCATAGCTAGTCAATAGCTAGAGGGGAATATCTATTTTTCCTAGATTTCTTTGAATTGTATCTCTTCCTTTCAAGGGATTATGCATTTGGTCAACTTCAGTAAAAATTTCCTTCATGGACTAAGGTGAAGAAAGAATATATGATTTTAAGATGAAACGCTAAAAAAAAACCATGATATTTAAAAAAATTAAGCTTTAGATATTTCTAAAGGGTTTCAAATCTACTTTTTTTTTTTTTACTCCCTTCAGTTGGACATGCTAGAGGAAGATTTGTTAGCCCTGAAATCTCCTTCAGAAGAAAAGATTGCAAATGTTTTAGAAACTTACCAAGCAAAGGTAATCTTGTCAACATTCCTACCACAGATTTTAATTCTCGGGAAATATTGAACACCTGGCATTGTGGGTATACATAAATGTACTGAGGATTTGTTTACTGTACAGCTGAATGGGAGGATCAGTGCTTCACAGTGATGAGAGCAGCCATTGGCTATGATGGCTTCTTTCCTGTGCAGCTGTGCAGCTTCCCTGACACAGGACTTACAGGGCAGGTGGAGCCTTACACTCAGCCTTTTCTAGGGCTTTTCACAACACAGAGTGGTGGTTAAGTGCCATCAGTGGGTTCCAGCTCATAGTGAACCCCATACACGGTTTCCAAGGAGTGGTTTATGAGTCTAAACCACTGACCTTTTGGTTAGTAGTCAGTGCTATAGTACCACATCAAAATGTGATGGATGTGCACTCCCTCCTAAAAGTCCACTAAAATGCTAATAAGCGGGTGCAAGGAGGAGAGAATAAATATTTAAAGGCAGACAGAACTGAAGAGGAAGCAGTGGCAGATATAATGTCAACAGTTTGGAAGCTTGAAAGCAGAAGGATGGAGAGTCACATAATTTAGACCTGAGAATGCTAAAATCTTACCCTTAAATGAAAGAAGTGAGTAAGAAGCAAGGTAGTTCTTGCTATTGGCCCTTAGAAAGATACCAGGTCCCTCTGAAGACCAGGGTATGGAGTAGCACTGGAAACCAGGAAGATTTTTTTATATTTTTGTTATGAGCAATTAGAACTTCCAAAAGTGCAGCCAGGAACAGCTACCCTCCTCCCCTAACCTGGCAGAAGAAGAGAGATTTCTTCAGGAGACTGAATTGGACAGGTCTAGCTGAGGGCAGGGATGGGAGGTTCTTTACTAAAAATAAGGGAAAACCTCTAGTCCTTTTGTCATCTTAGCTTCCCAAACCAGCTAACACACTTTGAATTAAAGAGAAAAACTGCAGACACTGACTTTCAAGGCCCCTAAGGACACACCAGCTCCCTGTCTGATCATCTTATAGTGCACTGGACAATTGGCAAGTTGGTAATTGCAATCAACATTACACGCAAAAACTTCCTATGGTACTTTAGAATTCGACCAGTAGACAAGTGTCACCAGGCATTGAGGGGAAAGCTTGGACATAGAAAATAGGTATTAAATGGAGAGAAAACAAATAGAACTATTATCCAGACAGTTCAGTATGTAATTACTAGAACCTCGAAAGGAAAGCAATAGAACGTGTGAAATACGTAGAGAAGTAGTGTTAAGAAATGTACCCCAGACTGAAGAACCCTGCATCTACAGATGGACAAAGTCTATTGAGCGCTCAGCACAATGAATATGAATCTGGAACAGAAGAAGGTTTTTCCAGTGATAGAGAATGTTGGCACTGTTTTTGATCAAAGTGATTTAAAACTGAGAAGAGTAAGCTAACTAAGTGAAAGAACACATTTTTTTTTTTTTAAGTCCTTTGAGTTTAGAGTATTCAGTAACAGTGTGAAATTTATAGGGATAAGTGAAGACCTTGCACTTGAGTCCAAATTACCAAATTCCTCAGAACAAGATGGGAGAAGGATAGCTTGCAATGACTTTTTTTTTTAAAGTGAGGTTATTTTAACTGATTGCACCTCATTGTAAATCAGTAGCATTATGGGACTGCCCCAGACTAACCCAGAATTAGTTATATAAGTAAAAGGATTGTGTCCAGACCAAACAAGAGCATGGATATTCGTGACATACTTTGTTATGATCCATCTTCTCTTGTGGTTAAGGTATGTATTCCACACTATCACAATGACCTTGATAAAATGGAATTTGACCTGGATTGTGAGGGAGCGCAAAACATGCTGTGTAAAGCTTAAGGTGAAAGAGGGATTAAATGAGCTATAAACATGAGCCCAAGATGGCTGATTTTTTGGTCCAGAATTAAAAACAAATTAGTGCAGTTGGTTAAGCACTTGTGCATTGTTCCTTCCTTAGGCACAGTGTTCTTTCCTTACAGGTTAGTGCTGCTGGTGTGGTAGAGACGTGGCTGGAATTTGTAAAATGAAAATTTGTGTAGGTTGACCTCTCAGCTTTCGACTAATCCTTAAATGTGCTGATGTATATTATCTAAATAAAAATTTGTTGTTATTGCTAAGTGCCATCATGTCGATTCCAACATATAAACCTGGCATAGGGTTTCCAAGGAGTGGTTGGTGAGCTTGAACGGCCTACCTTGCGGATCAAACTGACTATGCAGTCCAGCTCATAACTCACAGCACTTCTGAGAGCTGTCTGAATAAATGCTGTCTGAATTTTGAATATATGGTGATAGTTGTTTCTAAAGAACTGTTAGATATAATTTGAGTGGACGTGATAATCTATCACAATGTGTATCATTCATTATGAGATTTTTAAGAATTTAAAGATGATTTTAGTTACTTCAGATTGATTAAAGGCTTTTCTTTTCAAACAGTCCAAGATTGATCAAGACAAGCCTTTCATACTGGAGGAACACATGGATAAAATAAACAGGTGCTTACAAAGAGATTTTAAATATATCTATCCCTTTGGAAAGACTGTTTTAAATTGAATTTGCTAACATTGCAATTCCATTGTGTTTGAACTTTATATAATTAAAGTAACAAAATTTGAGATTAGATAACACTGGATTTTTCGTTTACCTTTGAAAGTCACTTCTTTTCCAGCTTCTTTGTTGTTGTTAAGTGGCATTGAGTCGGTTCTGACTCATACATAACAACCCTGTATAGGGTTTCTGAGGAGCGACTGGTGGGTTTGATCCACTAATCCTGTGGTTCAGTGCTTATCCTGTAGTGCCACACCAATTAACTATAAAGTAATCTATGCTTATTCATTTTAGTGAAAACATTTTTTTTTTAAGGGGGGGAGAAAGGCTAGAAAATAACAATTGAATTAGCCTATATTTTATCCTTTAAAGCCATCTCTGAATTTCTTAATCAGCTGTCAGCAGAAAGTTCTTGAGCAATGAGCTAAGAGATGAAAAGTTTTATTTAAGGAAATGGAGGAAAACAGGAAACTATTGGAATGTAAAGCACACCCATGTTTTCAATTTAAAGCATTGGTTTTTCACACTTAAGATAATTATTTTTATGTAAGTATACTAAATATATGAAATCAAAGGAAAATTTAAGTTTTATTTCTCATTAGTGAAGGTAGACTGTGCATACTTTCCCATAGAGGTCATGTTCTATTTTGTTATCTTATCAAATAGGTTGGGAAATGTTTCACTATTGAAATGACTGGTAGAAGAAGAGAGAAGTTTGTGTTCAGTCTCCTTGGTATGTGAGAAGCAGGAAATTACTTGCACATTGATATAATTCTGTTTCCTTTTTTATAGTTGTTTTTCAGCCAATACAGTGGAACAGATTATTGAGAATTTACAGCAAGATGGTTCATCTTTTGCCCTAGAACAGCTAAAGGTAAAGTATTGATCTTTTCTGTCCTAAGTATTCTTGTGAGGGCTGCCATTGCTCTGGTTCTGACATAGTCCACTGCATTGTCTTTAGATGAACTTAGGTGCGCCTCAGAAAGTTCTGCAGAACCTTGACCCACACCTGAGTACCTTGTCTGTATGTTGAGGATAAAGTCATACTGTTTCTGGTCCTTTGAAAGTTAACAGGAGGACTTCAGTAAGTGTGCTTCATCTCCAATAGTCCGCATAGGTGATCCCACAGGGAAAGCTTTAGGAACTATGTATTAGAAGAGTTGGGTTAATGGAGAATAGTCATCCTGTAACATATTGTAATTATGACATTAATCTATAGATTCTATTTAAACAGAAGTCTTAAAAATTTTGACCCATTTGAAACTACCAAGAGGCTCCCTCTATAGCCATAACTGAGTAATATTATGCAGCATTTCTCAGTGTTAGGCAGATTTTGATCTTTGTACAGCATAATTTAATTGATGATAGCAATGTATTTGAATAAAATAGAAGAAAAGCCATTTTGTGTGAGTTCACGTTGGTACTAACATACTTGCATATGATATCTAGACCATTTCAGACTTCTAGACAAACAAGGGAATGGTGTTTTAGCTTGTCTTCATCTGATAGTAGTTTTCAGTTTTACAGAACTAATGATAGTATTCCTGTTGTCAGGGATCTTAATGACAAAAAAATTTAAGAAGTTATTACCTGAGAAAATGATAATAGTCATAAATTATTGTAGGTAAACCTAACTCACAAAAGTAGATTATCATGAACAATTTTTAGAGATGTTTGTATAAATATGTTATTGTTGTTAAAGGCTGTGAAGTCATTTCCGACTCATAGCAACCCTGTATAGCATTTCCAAGGAGCAGCTGATGAGCTTGAACCACTGACCTTGCAGTTCAAAGTGATCATGCAGTCCAGTGCATTAACCCACAGTGCTACATTTCAAAGATTCTGACTTTAAGTTGGTTCTCAATATATATTTAGTGATAGGAATTTCTTAGCAACAAGCTTAGCAATTTCATTAGAAAATAGGTAGCACTTTACAGTATCAGCTGTATTATGTGATTTTGCAGCAGTACAGATAATACAGCTTACCTTATTTTAAAACCACTGGTGTTACCTCAAAACTAAAGTGTAGGAACCAGATAGATTTTCCGTTTCCTTCCATTCTCCTGGCCATATGATCATTGTACATTTAGGAAGCAGTGCTTGGTCAGGTCAACCACCTACCACAATTAGAATAAAATAAACACTCTCATTTGGGAGGACAGGCTTAGTTGATGTTCAGCTCTGATTAATGAAGGTGGTTCAGAAATACTGGTTAGTGATGACATGTTGTGAGAAAGACTTCCCACCAAGTCTTGACAGAGCTTATATGCAGAGCTCATTTTAAGTTTGTCATAATCAAACACCAAATATATCCCTGGAGCACACTATGGTTGTTATTGCCTCACTGAAAGGTTTGCAGATCGAGTCTTTGAACAGATTTAAGGAAAGATTAAGATTAAAGATATAAAGAGTATTTCTTAATATCTATAATAAACCTTTTATTAATCTATAATAAACAACATTCTTATCAACGGAGAAAAGATGGAAGTTGTCAAGGACTTCATTCTTCTCGAATCAACTATCAATACTCATGGAAACAGCAGTCAAGAAATCAAATGATGTATTGCATTAGG